TACAACCTCTCATCTTTAGCTATGCAACGGTTTTAAAATATACTCAGTGCTGTCATCATGATTCTACTGCCTCTCAGTATGAAAATGTACATTTGATTTTGTCCTTCTCGAAAACGATAGATTTAAAAAAAAAAAGAGAAAATACAAAGAATGGAAAGAAAATTGAGGTTATTCAAAAGACTAAGATACAAAAAGGCAAACTGAAATACGTGCAAATGAAAAAAAACCCACTTACAACAAAATGGTTTCAACTTTCCTAGAATCATAATGAACTGAAAAGATTTTTATGTCTGGAGTCTAAATATTTCCTCCTGAATCTTATTTCCTGTGAATTCAGCCAGGACAGGAACAGGAGCCAGCTGACTACTGCCTCTGAGGAGCTACCTATCTATCTGAAGCCTTGGGAATCTTTCATTTGAATTGAAAGTCAAGATACCACTCTGGTGTTATGTTAAATAAGTTACAGGTCAGTTACAGACTGGGTAATGTTGCTCCCTATATGGTTAGGCTACTAGAATGTTCATCCCCTAAGGTCCTATCATTGTGTCTTCCTTTGTTCTCATCTTTGGTTGGTCACCCCCACAGAGCTCCCCTGGTTATTGTTGTTCAGCTTTTGGGCATTGTCCCTATTTTCTTTTATTCCTTATTAAAGTGTTATTTTCCTGGTGCCAATCATCACTCCTGCTCTTATTTATTTTCTCTACACTCCCTGCCCTAAAATCAGGGGACCTAAAGGTTTGTTGAAGACACCTTCACTCCAATAACTGGCACCTGGAACAGGGACCCTGACAGTCAGAGTTTTCTGCATCGGTTTGGTCAGCTGGGGTTGCTGACCAGCAGGCAAAGTGCTCCCTGCTTTTATGTGTTGCCACATTGGGCCCTGACGGTTCTCAGCCAGGGGCAGTGAGGACAACTGTTTCGTTCACCTGTGGAGGACTGCAGGTGGGTTTTGGGGAAGCATGGGACATTAACAGCCCATTTCACTATTGTGCCTAGAAAGAAAAAAAAAATTGTCTCAAGTCTTTAATGACTTGGCATATTCCAGTGGCTTTTCCCCCTAAGGCAGTGAGAAAGAGATGGGCAACTGTATGTCCTGAGTGGAAAGGAGTATATGTGGACATTTTAAATTAATTTTAATGGATCAAGACAAGAAATTTTCAAAGAAAGAATTGAAATTATTGTTGAGGTAGATTTCTAAAAATTTTCCTAATGCCTCTGCTGATTATATTTGCACCACCAAACTTTGGGACTCAGTGGGAGTTAAACGACATGATTTGTTGATAAAGAGGGACTCCATTGTGCCCCATTTTCCACACCGTCCTTGAAACCCTTCATCAGCAAGCAAAGCGTCAATCACCTGGTCTGTCAGTAACCCCTAACCTGACACCTTCCCTGGAACCATCACTTGGCAAGCCTTTCATGATGATCCAGCATGGCACTGGATCATCTTGGAGCATCATCCCCCAGAGACCCAGGATGGAAAGAGTCAAAATGTGACTGTGGAGCCTGAACGCCATCTCAGCTCCTCCACTTCCTCCCACTGTGGACGCCTTTTCTGCCCAAGACCACTCCTCTAACTCCACACCCACAATCTCAGACTATGCCTCTAACATCAGTCAATCCACCTTGCCCTCAGCCCACACCCCTAACACCGAGCTGGAATCCAGAACTCCACCCTGGAAGGCCGCCACCCTAAATTAAGGCCCTTCCATTTTAACATCCTGCAAAATGACGGCACCCATTGCCTTGTGCTCTGGTAATGTGGCAGCTCCCAGGGACAGGACCAAAAAACACTGTCACTCCTCTAATAACAACCTGAATGTTATTGCTCCAAGTTGTCCTTCCTCAGAAGGTTTCTGTGTTTCATGTTATAATTAGCAATGCTAAAACATTTTATTTTTGAATGCACGTTGAATTTCAGTATAATACTCTGAAATATTTAAGGATCTTGATTTAATGTAATAATTTTTCCTGTGTAAAATTCACAGCAATTTTCTGGGTTGTTTTTACCTTCAAAAGAAAAAGAAATATTAAGGTCTTATTTCCCTATTCCACAAGCCTTACCATTTCAGTTATGGGATTTCCAAATCTAAAATTAAGTTTTCTTCTCAATCATTTAAAATTGTCCAAACATATTATTCAAGGATGGCAGCTGTTGGCTATTTCCAGTTTATCTGGCAATTTAACGAATCTATGGCAAACTAGCCAAGGGTACAAATAAAGCTCTAAAAGCTTAGAAGGTTATTGAGACAACACTGACAAAAAACCTATTAAATATGTAGAGTAAAACCCAAGGCATAGACTTCTAATACCATGTGAATGTCCCAGTTTGCTGCCCAGTGCGGGGAGTGGCATACATGGTTATTGCCACTCCCTTTCAGACAGAAGGCAACTTCACTGAAACATGGAAAGGTCCTGAAAAGAAAGCAAACATAGAGCTACTAATTTGGTTTAGCAGAGAAAGTGTTCATGCAGTTAGATAACAGCTTGTAAGTTTACAAGTCTAGGGGAATTCATATGTTTGCACTCACCTTGCTTGAGACAATAAGCACAATGTTTCCTGTGCATGTCTGGCACTGTGTTTTAACATCAAATACTTTCATCTAAAAGAAGGTTCAATGCTTTATTTACAATCCAAAGAAAATATAGCTAAACTTATTAAAACAAGTTTGTTACTATTGTTAGTTATTGTTACAATGTTAGTGCTGTTAGTTACCATGTTTGTTAAGTTAAATGTTAAAAGTTTTTAAGAATTCCTTATGTTCATTGTTTTTGGTCCAGAAGAGAGAAGATGAGGAGTTGGGTTTGCTTGGGACCACCCCACTGGCCTATGAGGATAGTTTTAATCTTAGACCTTGGGAAATGGAGATTTAGATCATGTTAATGTTTATTCCGTTCAGTTTTATGTTGATGATTGTTCTATTTTTAAGAACATTGAAAAGAAGGAGTAGAAGCCCTATCTACCAAGGACAGACTAAGTAAAGCTCTATATGCTTTTTAATTTTTAAAATAATTCATTTATGGAGCCAAATCCCTGTGTCATCACACATTTTTCCAACACTTCATGGGCTCAGTTAAAAGAAAGGCCACTCACAATGATTAAAGACCCTGAAAGCAACCAGATTTGGGGGCCATTCCCATTAATTACCTGGGATTAATAACTGAGGATGCCATCCAAAGTATGCAAGGTGATGAGGCAAATGGAATCAACCCTGTCAATACCTGGGACTACTGGACCCAGAAGGTCCCACATGCAACACTTGAACCTCAGGAGCTAGAAATTCTCAGGTTGGTAAAAATGGATTTTTGCACAAAATTTTACTATAGAATAAGATGGGATGACAGTAAAATACCTAAAATTATAAGGGATACAGCAATTATGATAAGGAACAAGGCAATTACCAGGCCAGATGTCTCTCCATATCATCCTGCCTACAAAAATCAGAGCCAGTGGTGTCATTACACCTCCTCCATCATTTCATCCAGTAGTCACCCTTTACAACTATCCACACGGTGTATTTCTTATCTGTGGAGACAGAGCATGGCCCAGTATCCCCTTGCACATCAAAGCCAGGCCTTGTAGCTTGGGGAATCTTACTTTGAGGGCACCCAACATCAAAATAATGCATAGCAAGAAGAACAGGGCAAAAAGATCTACCTTTTGTTACCTTGGGAGGCTGCAGCCAAGGCATTAGGACAATTAGTTCATCTTGGGTACCTCCTAAGTAAGCAAACCAACACTACCTCCATCAGCTGAGTGGCCTGCTCTCTGATGTAGAGACCATCAGACATGCCACCTTGCAGAACAGGGCAGTGATGGACTTTTTACTCCTAGCACAGGGCATGGCTGTAAGAACTTTGAGAGGTTGTGTTGTATTAACCTCTCCAGACACAGCAAGTCCATCCATAAGAGCATTCAGGTACTGCGAGAAAAATTCAAAAAGTTTCAAATAGAAGACCAGGACTGGATTAATGCACTCTTTAAAAGCTAGGGATTAAAGGGTTGGATGTTATCCATGTTTAGAACAGAGTTGTTAGCTCTCATAGTTGTTGTCATATTGTTGGTGGTTCCATGTCTGTTTGGATGCTTTTACAGGGTTTTGCACTGTTCTCTCAGTTTGGTTTTTGTTAAAAAGAAGGGGGGAGATTCAGCCAGGCCAGGGACATGAGCCAGCTGACTACTGCCTCTGAAGAACCACCTATCTATCTGAAGCTATGGAAATCTTTCATTTGAGTTAAAAGTCAAGATACCACTCTGGTGTTATGTTAAATAAGTTACAGGTCAGTTACAGACTGGGTAACGTTGCTCCCTATATGGTTAGGCTACTAGAATGTTCATCCCCTAAGGTCCTATCATTGTGTCTTCCTTTGTTCTCATCTTTGGTTGGTCACCCCCACAGAGCTCCCCTGGTTATTGTTGTTCAGCTTTTGGGCATCATCCCTATTTTCTTTTATTCCTTATTAAAGTGTTATTTTCCTGGTGCCAACCATTACTCCCTCTCCTATTTATTTTTTTGTCACCCTCTGCCCTGAAATCAGGGGACCTAAAGGTTTTTTGCAGCCACCCCTCACTGTGACAGTTTCCTAAGAAAATTATAAGAGGTTTTCTCTTTCTACTCATTCAACAGAAACAATTTGTCAGCTTTTGTTTAGACTCAGTTAACATTGTTAAGAAGCAGAACTCACACTAATTAGCAGCTTTTTAAAGCTTGTTCAGTAAAAAGTAATTAAAAACAAAAAGAGACTTGCACAATGGTACCCCACTTGTATGTTGAAGTGTGAGTGAAGAAGTAGGTGCTGCAGGATTTATGTGAGGAATAGTGAGAGATGAAGTCTTTACAATCAGAATATGCAAGCAAGATGACAAAACTCCCTTGGAAGCTATATTTCCTTAGTTCTACAGCTCATAGAATAATTTCTTTACTGAGTTCCTTGCTGCTGCAACAGAAATTAATATTTACATCTTAATTGGCAGAAAAAATCCAGTCAGTGAATCCTACCACATCTGTTCCATGTCTTCTTTCCAGCAGCAGTCGGAAGACATTCGCTGTAATCTTGTTATCTTGAACACCTTGTCCAAGGCCACGGTTGTCATCCTGCATAAGCCGACGATCCATGATCACTTCCAGCTGACCTGAAAGAGCAACATGAGGATTATACTAGTATCAAGAATATGTAAGGGTTCTATTAAACATAAATAACCTGCCCTAAAATTTAACTTATTTTAAAAAATCATAATATTTCTCTTGAGTTTGGAAGAGTTAGTGATTGATATTGCTAGGACATACAATGAAAGCAGTTTATACCACTAGACTGTGGCTGTTTATAACCTTAAAAAAAATTTTCACAAGCCTTTCTGCAGAATGTCCAGCTTTTTTTACTTTCAGAGTTTATATAACAGTTTGATATGAAAAATTATTACTATTAACTACTATTTGCAACAAGGATACGTGGTAACCAAACATCCAAGATAAGAATCACCCCCAGGTAGCTGCAGTTGTATGGAGAGAACTTCTGTAGAATTATCTTCAGCTTGTACTCCATTCTTTTGTTTCACATTTGAAGCCAGAAGGAAAAATAGCTATCAGCAGGAGTGTATAAATACTCACTTCTTGTATGGATAACTTCACGTGTGGGAGTAGGAAAGAACTTTGCACTGGATAATCACTGAGCATGAAATTCTGAGTTTGTACTGAACTGCAGCACGGCCACTCAAAAAATAGTGCTTTAAGCATGATGTTAAATTATACATAGCCTGGACAAAGAAGTTCACTTTTTTCTCAAGTGTATATCTCCAGAAGGAAACCAGATTGGGGCACGTAATTAAGGCTGTTATAGTTTTTGCACACTGAATCTTCAAATAAGTGTACTTGTTTCCTAAATAAAACTGGAAGACTGAAGTGCTTGTATCCTGAGTAAGAAGAACTCAATTTAAGCTTCCAGAAAAGGCTGCTTACTAAGGCAATCTTTTTTATATTTCAGTGTTCTACAAACACTTACCCAATTTTCTCAAATACTCGTTCTTCCCTTCCCTCGAGTACAAACAGATTTTGTTTATCCAGGGCAGAAATCAGCTGACAATGAGAAAGAAAAAACCTGCTATTTTGAACCAAGGTACTGTTCATGTAACTTTCAGATGGTGGGCTATGCCTTGAGACACACCTGTGTCTCAGATACAGGAACACAGGTACTGAGGGTTGCTTGCCTAAACTATAAGATTTTTGAATTTTCTTCCGTGATCCTTCTGAGCTCCTGAAAGACCTTCAGAAAAAATGTCATGAAGTATACTCAGCAACCACAGAATCTTCAGCTTCATTTCTGTTCTTTTTTGAGGAATACAACATGTCTTCAGTAAAAGGCAGCCAATTTACTAATTTAATGAAATATTACTTAATGATAACAAAAATCAGATTAATTTCTTCTCCTCTTTTTCTTAGTGGGTGCAGAGTAAATATTTGATGTTGGTGTATCTTGAATGACATAATACAGTTTGTCAAAGGGTGAAACAGTCAAGAACTCAATATCATGTCAGGTATGGGATGTATCTGTTGCTCTTTTATTTAACTGGGGTAGGTGAAAAGCCTGTAATGTCCTCTGATAGATCTGAAACAAGTGCTCACAGGAGGTCAGTTTCTCCCTGATGCTTGCCTGCTAAACATGTCAAACAGTGCCAGCCTTAACTTCCTAATTTGATGGCAGAGAGTGGGGGTGTCTGTGGATTAAGATGTGCATTATTTTGTGATGCAGAGACTAAGATCGTTAAAGAACAAATACAGACATTATTATCAGGTAATAGAGCCTCTGCAGACTAATTTAGTCCCCAATACCCGTTTAATCAGTGCTTAACAACATAGGTGGTGTCAGGGTCATTCACAAGATCAGGCCAATAAAAATTTGGTTTTCAGCATGGGGAGGCATGAAATGGGGAGGTCTTGTATCCAGTAGACTTGGAACAAAAGGCTGGTATTTTCCACTTAGGTTTTATTCAAGCATCACTGTAAAGATCAGTGTTAATTCTCTTGCCCTAAAGTGAATTAGGTTGGCTAATACTGCCACCAATCCAGCATGGTATTCACCTTTTGTCAGAACTGATTATTTATGACATTTTTCTTAAAAGAAACTGGGAAGTAGGGTTTTGGTGCAGTTTCTGATGGACTCTTTCTCTTCTGAGTATTCATTCCATTATTATTCAAAACCACATACATTTAAACGGACAATATATATTACAGCAAGGAATTATACATCTTAAATTAGGAATTATATACCTTGTTTTGCCCAGTACCTTTAGCTTTATTTGAATTTGAATACCTCCCCCATTCAATAGACTGAAAAAATGTCCTCTGTTTCCAGGCTGGAGGATCATCATACCCTTTTCTGCTTCAAGGAGCAAGACTGTGTCTCTTTTGGAATTCTTAATATGAATCGTTTTTTTTATTATCATCATATTCATCAGGTTTGTCAAAGTACTCCATTAAATTTTTGAGGTATCATTTTGCTTCAGAAGTATGTTCACTCTTACCCAGGGCCACATTTATCCTTTTTTCCACTAACTCGAATCTTCAAAAAAGCTGCTGTTGTTTTTCCTTGACAGGAAAGTTAGGCTATGCTGTATATACCTTAAGACTGGTGCTGTCTACACTAAAGCAAACAAACAGAACAAAAAACATGATCAGCATCCTTCTTAAGTCCTCTCCTACCTCTCCTCTCTCTCTACAAAAAAAGAATAAACCCTTTAGCTCTGCTGTTTCATTGCTGAGTTCCACCAGAGTTCTTGGGTGAAAAACAGCTGATTCTGACAATTTATTGCTCCTTCTGTCTTTTTCACTATCTTTTTCCTCTGCCTCTCATTTGAGAAGAGATCTTTCATTGAAGATGACAGGTTCTCATGTGGGATCTACCTCTTCCTCCTCTGTTATGGACATATTCTAAAACATGTCAGAGTTGGAGAAACTTACTTCCTCTCTTCAAATGCTTGTAGGTAACTCTGTGAATGAACTAGTTCAGAATACCATGAAGGAGAGACCTTTGCCATATCTATCATCTTGTATTTACCATTTTTCAAGCTTGCAACACCTAGAGACTGAGCTGAATGAAGTGTCAAACGAACGCCAACATCTTGGATATAAGCCATGGTAGTCATGGGATAGATATTTGCTTGAAGAGGCAACTTGCTCATTGTCAGTCTAGGCTGGATCTGCAATGTGAAAACAAACTTCAAAAATGTATGTTCTTTTTATGCAATTAAATTTCAAAGACATTTTCAGACATTTATCCCATGTGCTTTGGAAGACCAACAGCCACAAAAGCATTCACTCAACTGTGTTATTTAGGTTTTTGGAGATTCGTGGCTAAAATTACCACTTTGGAAATGGTAACTTCAATGTACTTTTAGATCAAAGAATATTAAAAAAAAATGTGAAAGATTCATCAAGGGAACCTACAAAAAGGGAACCTACAAAAAGGAATAATCACAGTTATAAAATGAGATAATTTTTTTTCTCCGCTAAAGAGCAAGCAGTGAATAGATTTAAGGTACCAGAAAAGAAATTGTTGGTTTATAATGGGCACTTATTGAAATGCTGTTGAAATTCTTGAATGGTACATGACAATTTAGTACTAGCATTAAAATTATTTTCATGTTTAAACATTCACTGTCTCCAGCAAAATGCAGTAGTACCAGTAACTGAAAAACCAATAGTCCTTTACTCAGGAGTCATGGTCTCCCTTGTGTTTGCAAAGCTGTTTTCAGCAAGAAAGGAAGGTAAAGAAAAACAGTTTTTCTCTTTTGTGTGTGCTGCATAGTTCAAGCTAAGACAATAGCCCTTTGCTCAGATGTATTACCAATAGAAAAACCATAATACATCTGAAAATACATCACTTATTTCCAACACAGCAACAAGCAGCTGCTCACCAGGTCTGGCCCTTATGCATACTTATCACTGTATTATCCAATGGGTTTTATCTAAATAAACAAAGCAGAGGGAAAGAAGGCATGCACATATACAAGTGACTACATGGTGACTTGTCATAACTGGCTGTATTATAATTCTTCTCTTAAGAAGAATATAAAGGAATATTCAACAAACTCCTTAAAAGCTTCTGGTTATTACTTCTTGGTCTGGTTTATAACCATAAATATTTTTATAACCAAAATATATTTTATATATTTTGTAAATATATAAAATAACAGGTATTACATATATTTATATGTATATAATTACATATTATATATATATTATATATAGTATATAAATATAAGGTACATTTTTTTAAAAGCAGTTCTTCTAAATTATTAGTGCAATTTGACATGAGAGTTTGTTTAATGCACTTTACATTTAGCAGCTGACATACTAAGGTTTTACAATTAAAAGATGGTAATTACCTGATATCCATTAAGATCAGTAAAGAATCTATTTTCACTGTTTATGTCAGATGAAATTCTCATTGCAAGTTCGCGATTATATTCTCCTCTAATGTCCACAATATTGGAAACTTCAACAGACTGACCTTCCAAACCTAAATGAAAAAGATGCATTTAAAATCTCTTAAAAGTGATTGCCACATGTATGAGAATGACTGTGCTCCCAGGACACAGTGACCTAGTTTTTCCTTTCTGTTATATGTAACCAGATATTGGAAGACAGTTCAGTTAGGTAACAGATGATTGAGCAGTATTTCGAATTCTGTACAAATTGAACAGATAATCTGAGAGAGAGAGAGCACTGAAAGGGAACAGGAGCAATACATGGTAAGAACCAATGTGGGTTCCAGTAAAATCAGTAGGAAACAGCACACAGCTGTTAAGTGTGGTCTTTAAATAAATATGCCAGAGCATATTTAGACCTGGTCAGTAACTTCTCCCCTTCACTCTTAAGCAGCTGTCACCATTCCTAGAAAAGAATGAAGTCACCAGTTTCGTGAGAGAACTGTTCAACTGAGCAGGAAACTGTGAGCAGCTCCTTTAATCAAAGAAGCGAGAATCTTCCTTAAGGACAGTGAATTAATAAATTTGAACTGATGCAACCACAAGCAGGATGCAAAAATTTGTTGTCAGGGTTTATATTTATTAAAAGAAGGATTAGGTGTCTGAAAATTCAGACAAGTTGTGCAGTGAGATTTTTTTTTTTCTCCAGCACCTTATAATAATAACTTACAAGTTATTATTAAATATTTTTAATAATAACTTGACCTTTTCAAACAGTTCAAGCCACAGTCTGGAGTGGAATCATACCATCATTCAGCATCACCACTTCTACCCTTTCTGTAGTCTAATGGGATTAATGATTGCAAAAATAATTTCACCAAGCGGAACAGAGATATCTGTTTGTTTCCAGATCTGTTTTAAAATCTGAAGGCCACCTGCAGAAGTACAGCAACTGTTAAAATGTTAACATTTACCAATGGCTATTAAACTTCACTGCTAAATGAAAAACACTTGATTCAGCTAATTACTTCTATTTCCCCCAAAACTAGTCTGGAAAATGTGGATTTATACGCTCCACTTTTGATGCTCCCAGTAGTAGATTTTCCAAACATTTCAAGTATTTTTTCCAAATATTTAAAAGCATATGTATGTTGAAGAAGAATACAGTATTTTAGTTTAGACTATCATCAATTTTGTATTGCATAATTTGAGATAATACAAAAATACAGCTATGAAGGAAATAAAGTATGACAAGCTTCTGATAAAAAGATTTAAAAAATCATGCTAATATCAAAAACAGATTCCAATGGCAGCAGAAGTTAAAAAATCACTGTGGTCAATTACTGAACAGAGCTGTCAACCCAGAGTATTTTCTGCCCAAAATCAACAGAATTTTAAAGCCAAAAGTGGTAAAAACTATTTTTTCACCAAAATTGCTGAAGAAGATGTAGGAGTTGGGAGCAGTATCCAACAGCTGGATTCAGTATCCAACAGCTGGATTAGCCACACAATCAGTCTTGCTACCCCTTGACAATCAGGTAAGTTACAAAAGGAGTCCTTATTTGAAATCAAAATGCATTTATACACATGCCCATATTGCTTTTTTTCCACATGCTTTGTTACTGTACATATCTAGTAAGAGTTCAAAATACCTTATTTTAATTGCAGTAATGTTATATAAATAACTCCCCTTACAAAGCCAAGGAAATAGACATCAGCAAAACAATGATGCAAAGCTGTCAAGTTTTAAACTTTGAAAAAGAACATTTGAAGAAATTTAAATAAAAACACACAAAAAAGCAAACAGACAATATACAAAATATATTTTGCATCGTTTTTCCTTGTCAAAGCTAGAAGCATGGTAAAGGACTTACCCATGTACACATGTAATGGTGTAAGTATTGAAACATTGTGATGTTCAAAAAAAATATGTCAGAAAAACCAAAGGGAAAAAAGTACATAGTACACTCAAGAGGAAAGATAAGTACTAGGAATTAGCAAGCAAGTGATCTTCCCTGACAACTCATTTTCTATGAACTGTGAAAGTAAAAAGCAAATACTTCTAGCAGGAAGTAAAATACTTCTAGCAGGCATTTAGTAGCAAATTAAAGAAAAAGGAGTACTACAGAATAATCCACTTTAAAATAACAACCTCACACTGACCAAAAAAAAAAAAAAAGCCTTTCAGGCTTTTTCCCTCCCCTCCACTACAATAAATATTGTCCTGTATAAGTTCTGTCCTTGCTGAGAATTTTAGTTTACTAAGACTCACACAGGAGTGTGAGTAACTTTCTTTCCACATTCCTGGCAACCTGGTACCTCTTGACCTCAAGGTATCTTTTTTTCATATAAGATGATTTTAAATATTTGTCACATAAAATGAAGAAACCATAGTATTGAATATATGTTGTGTTTCCTGAGGATCTTCAGCAATGAATTACTATGCAAACTCTTAGCTGGTGTTCCTAAGGAGTGTGAGTTAATGTTTGACCCAGAATAACTGTATCAACTGGCAAGTGAATTCTGATCAGCTTTTGGCATCTGTATAAATTCCAGCAACTTCAAACTTCAATGTGCACATGTCACAAAAACAAAACATCTGAATCAACTTTAGTTCTAGATCAAAATACACTAGAACTAAAAAAAACAAAAACAAACAAAACCCACAAAAAACCCAAAAAAACCCCAGATGATGTCAACACTATTTTTGAAACTTAAAAGAAAAAAGGAAAAGAGCAAGCAAGACTTTCAAAGTACTTATAACTTTTTTTTTTTGTAGAAGTTGTTTAGGAACAATAATTAAATATGATAAATAGGATTTTTTAAAAAACGTGAAGACAATTTTGATTCCTACAGTAAAGTTGGTAATACAAAGCATGTAAGCTCCTTGAACAGAAAACATTAATCTGAGCTTCTTTATTTCAGAATAATCCCAGAAAATATAAATAATGGATAACAGAAAATGCATGTTTCTTAATTACAGAAAGATACTCTTAAGCATGTAAACTCAATTTTCCATATGAAAATACTTGTATACAATCACACCATTTCCTCCTTCTTTTACATTTTCTAGTGGCCAATTCAATCAAGTTTGGAAGGCTAGGGAGTTTCCTAAATTACTGTATACCTAGAGTTTCCTCGGAAATCAGTAGCTGAACAGTAGAGAAACAAACAACTGAAAGCCTGACTGAAGAAAACAAAGGAAAAATGATACGAGCCAAAACTTCTAAGAGCCAAAAGTTAATGTTTGGGGCTGGTGCCTCTCAATAGACATAGACAATTCTGTCATGAGTTCTCCCAAGCAGATAAAGGACACAGGGGGACAAAGGGAGGACATAAATAACTAAAGCCTAAAGATGTGAAGTAAACTAGACCTCTCTATTAAGGCCATTGATATATATTGTGCTTCCATCAGTAAATGTGAAACTATGAAATAAACTATGTTTTTACATTATCTCCAAGGTATTTCTATTTTTTTTTCCTGATTGTCAAAATGTACTGCTAGTTACAGCATTCAAGCCTGGAGAGGCATCTCCAACAAATTTAAGTTTGTTGTTTAAGTACACCAGCTTAATGATTAGCATTACACTCAGAGAGAAAACACAGTGCACTGGAGTAAATACAGCTTCATCTCATGAGTTCTGCACTCCTGCACAAATGCATTAAAACATTAAAAAGACAGGTAGGGTCTAAGACCATAGTGATGTAAAATAACTGGCAAGATAGAATTTCACAACTCTTACCCTGGACTTTATACAGCCGCATGGTATGTGTCACATGGTGAAAAAAACAAACAACTTCCGAGAAAATTTTTCCATGAGCAACTCTTATGGTAGGTGGGTCTGTAAAAATATAAGGCTACAAAAAGAAAACAGAAGGAGTGAGTATTTTGGAAGTTTTGCAAAAACATAGTGTCAATAAAATAAAATATTTAGTAAATATTAGAATAGCATCCTCTTAAACCATTCTAGATCTAAAAAAGCTGGAGATTAAAAAATTACTCCTAATCTGAAATTCAGCAACTTCTCTTCAGAGCCTTACAATTTCTTTAGCTAAAATTAGGTTAAATCTCATTAAGTATTTTATGAGGATTAATGGATTCATACAAGGTCTACAGACAAGCACATGAATGCATTGATACTGCATCCGGACTGAGCTCTTTTGCTAGCAAAATTACAACTACTAACCAGTAATTAAATACTGTGGTTTCAAAATTTGGGGCAGGTGGTTTAACTGCTTCTGTCAATGGTACAGACTGCACAAGGAAAGCCTCCCCTACTCTACCATGTGGATCAGTTTGCCTATCTTTTGACAGTAGAAGAAAAAGCTCTTACTTCACCAGAAGCAGCTACAGTTGCCAGTGGAGCTCTCTGGAATGCAGGGTAGTGTGGACCTGATTTTCTGACTCTGAGACAGCCTGTCAGACTCAGAAAATCAGGTCCAAATGGTAGGGCTCGGAATCATTATGAAATGTCAAGAAGGACAGTGGCTTACTACACATGCTTCCCACAGAGTAGGATAAATTTTGCATATTCACAATTGTCAAAGAGACGAAGAAAATTATTCTTCCATGTAGTCACAGTATATAAAGTCTTGGCTAGGTAAACAGTGACTTTTTTTTTTTTTTTTTTTAAGCAGTTGATCCCACACTAAACTGTTTGCACCTGATGGAAATAAATGGATGGCTGCAAAGGTAAAAATTAATTAAATACTGAGAGTGTACAAGACAAAAATCAAAATACAACACATGCAACTACTTCAGCAGGGAAACAGCTGTAAATAAAGACTTCACTCAACAAAGCCCCATCTCAAATGCTTGAAAAACACATTATTCAGAGGGATCTAGGCAGAAAACTCTCAGAGGGTGGCTTACTTCTGTACACATAGCAAGGCCATAAGGACAGACCATGGTCTTTCTTGAAGCAATGACACCAAAGATCAAATGTATTTTGAGGAAAAGCAGAAATTAAGCTTACATACATACACACAAAACACACTAGAGAAAAATACGTACATGTAAATATCAATATTCTCTGAGCATATAACTGTATGTATATTTACAGGGAAGATTTTGAGAAGTATAAAAGGAAAAACTGAAAGAGACTTTCAAGGTTGAAAAGCCCACCTTTTCTATCCAACATACTTATTCTTAGAGCTTCAGAATATTCTTTAATAAAAGCTTTGCCAGAGCTACAAGAGGCAACTCTGCAATTATCAACAATTATCAACTAGGAATATTTTGTACAGGAGCTTGCTAGAGAAATCAGTTACTAATACTTTGATAAGACTGTTTGGAGAGAGAGAGAGAGAGAGGGCTTTTTCCTACTGAAAAGAAAACCTTATCCAGTTAATCAATAAGAAACCTCCAAATAGTGTTTTGGACTTCCTGATAATCTACGTGAAAAAATGATGGAATATTTCCATATGATCTCATCTCATCAGTAAGACAGACAAATGTTATCTGTAATGCAAAAAACATTTGCTAGGTGAGAAATACAGAAGGAGTATTCAGGGTATTCAGGGGGCACATAAGACAGATGAACTATTATGCTAAAATGAAATTCCAAGACCAGATCTTATTTCCATGAAAAACTGATAATGTTCGTAACTGTAGACTGAATTCTCCCCTTCTAGCAGAAGAGATTGATATTTACTTTCCTATTATATATAGGAAGAAAAGACAAAGTCATTTAATCTGTAACTACATGGCTTCTAGAAGTTAAAAATCCCACAGAGGAGGAACTGGATGATTGACCAAATGGTGGAATAGTCAAACCCTTCAAAATCCTCCCTGCAGGGCAGAGCAACATGAAGATACCTAAGCTAGTAAAGACAGACTGAAACAGCACCTAAAGGAACTCTCAGAAAATTAGCCGAGAAACCTGAGGTCATCAGGACAAGCCAATTACCTGTGACCAGTGACCTAGGAGAATTAACTTACACAGAGAGCAGACTGCCAAATATATTCTGTTATCAAAGTTATGCAGATCTTATGGTCTTCTGTAGTTTATAAGAGTATTTCTTGCTGGGTTCTCACTGGAGCTAGCCAGCAAAATGAGAGAGATGCTGGATGAGTGACACAGGAATATAAAAGGCTGTGCACTTATTAGAAAAAAAATTAACTGAAGTCATTTTAAAAATCAAATATTAAAGAAAAAACAAAACGAACCTGAACATTTGGAGGAGCTCTTTCCCATTGAGCTTTTTAGTATAAAACATGACTGTGATATTGACAACAGTTATGAAAATACATAGAAAGCTGAAATGAGATGGACATATCAGCTGTCAGATTCTGGGATATTGCCAGAAATAATAAGTTCACACACCTGAGCCTCCAGGCTGCACACGTAGCCAAATTGGCTCTTCTTCTGAAGATTAAGACAAACACACACATTCTGAACTAAACAGAAAGATGAGCTGATGGAAAATGAGCTGTTATTTTACAGATATTGCCTGAAACAAATAGTTTTTTTAAAAGTAGTAATTCATAATTTTGCTAGGACATGCATTGTATTTGCAAGTCTCCAATTCAGTCACAATAGTAGAAAAGTCACAAAAGAGGAAGGTGGCTTACAAAGGCAGATGCTATCACATAGTTTTGTGGATCAGACAAATTCTTTCTGATAGAAAGTGCAGAAATATGATGTACACTCAAGTTCTCAAGGATGACTTATGTTCCCTGATTGTTGAGCAAGCAGGAAAAATGAAGTAAAAATATGGCAGTGATATAATAGGAAAGCCTTCTAATTCATATTTAGTGCTTAGAAAAGCACTAATCCTAGAACTTGATTTGTTGATAGTTACCAGGAGAAATTCCAGGCATACAGAACATATAAAGAGAAAATTTTCCAAATTTGCCTCACCAAAAACATTTCAATCAACCAAGTTTTTAAGAAGGAAAACATATTTATGCATTGAGTGTGCAATTCTAGTATCATTGTAAAGATCTTTGGTGAGATGCACAGGTCTGTGAAATGATCTTGGTCCTGGATCTGAAATACAAAGGTATTTTTGATGTGAAAGTTTAAGTCAATGTGGAAAGAACAAACAATGATAGATAACTGCAAAACTGATTCGACAAAGTCCTTGCCTCAATTCAGTGTTAAGTGTGCTTTGTAAACAAGTATGGACTAAAGGACCTTCCACAGCATGAAGTAATCTGTGATTACTCACACCTTGAACTGGAATAAAAACACTTTGGTTTCATATCCAATGGTTAGTCTGAAGAGTCCGTTTTCTAAAGAATTAAAATAAATAGTTGCTGTAATATTTGTTCCCCTCAGCTCCAGTGGAATTAATTCCATTGTACAAGATCCAGCAGACCGGTGAGGCAGCTTTTGTTGAGCCTGGAAATCAGTATTCTTCAGAAACAGGACAACAGAATTATGGGACAGAGGGTTCCAAAATCATCTTTCTGTACTCCTACTCAAGAGAAATAAGACAAGCTTCCTTTGTCAAGATAGTGGGCAGGAGGCCTGGGAAGAAGCTAGCTAGGAATTTAAAGGGAAAACACCTGGAACAAAATAATACCTCGGGATCCCCAGGATATATTAAAATACTTAACATCAAAACAGGTGCCAAAGGATGGAAATAACTGGAGATATACCTTCACCAAAACATTTACATGCTTGTAATGAAAACACAGTGGCATATTGCAGCCTGGAGGCATGAAGCATGGACAATAAGCTTTCCCCCTCATAGACAAGTGAAGCACTCCTAACCATTTTAGTAGGGCCAGGAAACCTCTGGTAGTGCAGCACACTGTTGGTCTGGGTGTCAGAAAAACCATGCCCAGGGGAAAGCTTTCAACCACAGATGGAATGTTCTGGACGGGTCAAAAATATAAGTAAGTAAGTAACTAAATAAATAAATAAATAAATAAATAGATGGATAGGTAGGTAAAGAGATAAATAGATAAATAATTAAATAAATAAATACATGCATACATACATAAAATAAATAAATACATACATACATAAATAAATAAATCTCAAGACAAAGCCTACAGGAAAAGGAGTTTCTCAATAGCAGATTGCCCCTTATTTGGTAGGGTTTGATATTAGGCTGAGCTTGTATTATGTACTTTAGTTCTAGCACTAAGAGATCTTTGCAAGGGAAAAAAAAAAATCTATTTTTTTATGTATTCTGTTAGTACATAAGTACCAGTGGGAGCTACTACATACACAGTATCAGAGAACCAGCTGCCTGAGGGAGAATCAAAATTTACTACTCTGGGTGTATCAAAAAACATCACTTTGATACTGAAAAAATTATTTGTAAAACAAAACAATCAACTATTCGCATTGATCCCATAAACATTTAGTATCTGATGCTTTGGAAAAAAATGCTTTTCTCTATTCCCTACTGATACCAAGGATGGCTAGTAAGAAGTCATCAAGTATTGAGTGGTCTTAAATACACATAAGAAAATACAGTCATTAAACTATCTCAAAGTTTATTGAATACTTAGGGTTTTTTTTTCCCACAGATCTACAAAAAACAAGTTGGACATTCTTCACAAAATCACAGGAGATAAGAAACATGTTTTTCCTCCATGAACAAGACATCTTGTTTATATTTGTTGTGAGGTCCAAGGAAATCCCTTCCTTCCAAACCTTGGTAACACTGTCAGCCAGTTACACTGCACTGCCATTTTAAAAAATTAAGATTCTGCCTTACTCCCTGGTGCCTTGCTTTTTTGTTTTGATTTTCCATGGTAGGAGCACTGTCCTATCTCTCTAGATCTGCAGGATGGAGCCCCCACTCTGTGCCTCTGTTCTGGACTTCACACCATTGTAGTTTAGCACTATAGCTAGACAAACTATTAAACCAGACAAAGAAAAAAAATTCTGAGTAATGCAGAACTGAAAATAAAGTAACCAAAAGATTTATCAGACAAAAAATTAAACAGTTAACATGGGCAAATAAAACATATAACTCTACTCATACCAAAGGAAAATATTCCAACATAAAAAGCAATTATTATTTGCAAATTTTGCTGTAATATATAGAGTAAAGGAGGTAAGAAAAAAAACAAAACAACAAAACACCTAGCCAAAAATCAAGAAGACTGCCTGCTATTGCCAATTCACACAAGGACTTAGAAAGTTAGCCAATCCACATCACACTAAGAACCCTGAACAGATGGCATTTCTTTTAAGACAGAAAACATTAGCTCAAACTGGTTTAAAAACTACTATAGAATTACACTGTTATTCCCAGTGGGACAATTTAATTAGTGTTATTAAAATGCAAGCAAAATGAGCCTTATGGTGAAGCATAATATCAATGAAACAGAATTTTCAGAAGTATAATAATTTCATTTTTATTGTATAAAATGTTAGAAAAGTTGAACAGCACCCTTTTAATATTAACTTAAAATGTAATTTAATTCAATTTTTCTTTTCTAATTGTACTTGCAGACATGTGACAGACTCCTTCTGTTTAAACCACACCATTTTGCTACCTCAATTTGTCCAGATAATTTTCATAAAGCAAATTACTTAAATGTTAAAATTATGTAACTGCTGGATTTAGTGATTATTTTGAAATGTAAAAGATTAATTAGAATAAAAAGTGAAATCAGTTAAAGTGTGACCATGCAGCTAGTGAAAGAAAAATTAAAAACCCTAAGTAATATTGTTCAAATATTCACAGATAAAGACACAATAAAATGAAGAAATATGAAATGGCATATAAAATGAAGGATGATAAGGGATCCCTGATGAACATAACTGAAGTAAAGAATTATGGTACTAAATATACAAAATAGTCCAAAACTGTCAACTCACAGATTTCAAAAGATGTGATTCTAGGAAAGACTGCTGAAAGAAAACTGTTCTGTCCCTTCCAGACTGATTTACACACATAAAAGGGGGAAACAGAAAAAGAAAAAAAGAAAAAGAAAAGAAAAAGAAAGGAAGTCAAATACCTTTCCCTCCCGCCAAAAGTAGAAGGATTACTCTTGCATATTTCCTAAAATGGTAAGCATAGAACTCACAGTTTGCCTTATGTATGCAACTTGAGTTTTCACAAGAGAAACTCAGAAGAAATATGCTGCCAACTAGCTACCTTCATAAATGTTCATTATTTTATCTTTTGCCTTCTGAAATATCACCATTCCAGTTCCAAGAGGGAAGTAGTACACTCCGTATGGTAATTAACTCACTGTAAGAATGCTGCAATTTCCAATTTGAAAACTAATAGGAGTATGCTGTTGCTCTCCAATAATTACACAGCTAAAAATACAGATAACCCTAGAGAACTAAATCAGAACAGTTCCTTGTTACTCTGTCTTTATATTCACCAATTGGGATTCAATATCTTAATTACTATATTAAACTAAATATGCTAATATCAGCTTAAAAGGTAGCTCTGAACCAGAAGCAACTCATTCACAATTAAAAAACATATTAAAAATCAGAAAAGTGAAGGTGTAGCAATGAATCAGTATGCCCTACACATTTTCACCATAGAAGGTAAAAACTAAATTATTTTATTGATAATGAATGGACACATCTCACTGGATTTCCTGCAGGGATTGCATCTTAAGTTTTTATCATAAATATTCTGTAGATTTTCACATTTTCAAATTTCTACTGTGTTTTCACTCTGATGTAGGGTTAGAAAGGATGAACTTCTGCCAATCATTTCAATAGCACATGTCATTATGTCTAGCCACACAGCTTTTATTTCAGCTTTGGGGACAACTAGCTCTTCCAATCTGTATTTGCCAAACACTTAAAGTTACTTCAAGATTAGAATCTCTTTGCAAACAGAATGTTTACCTTGGCATCTCCATCTGGTAAGAAGAGATAAGCTCCACTTTTATCTCGGTTACTGGTAGTTCCATACCAAGCAAACTCCACCTTCATTTGATGATTTTTACCATCCTCTTTGGTATTTATTTTCTTAAAGGACAGAGATTCATGTTAGGTTTCCATAAAGAAGCACAGAAATATAAAATATAGCTTTTTGAAATAAAATACAACATACCTCCAGTAATCCAGACATTCCAGAGAACCACAGTTTCATGTGTGCATTTTCTAAGATTATATTATCCACAGAATGCTGCATCTCTTTGATCTTGAAAACTCTATCTGTGTTTTCCTGTCTGCTATTCCTTACATATATGTTATAGTCAGCTAGAACTGCTTCTGAACTCTCATCCTCCAAAAGCTGGTAAAGTCCAATGCCAAGAGGTGGTAGATGTGCTACAAAAGAGATCTGTTGGGAGTAAATAAGCAGCCTTTACTAAAAATAGTAAAATATCAACTTTTTTATACTGAATTTATGTTCAGAGTAACTCCTTTTTCTTGAACAGTTTTAGGATGGCTGAGTTTTTGTTGTTTATAGTCCACAGATATATATGACGAATTAACAAATAAAAATATCTGCATCATAATTTGCTTAGCATCAAGATTACCATTATATCAATGGTATATAACCCAATATTCAATAATTTTGAATCTTGTTTGAATCCAATATTCAATAATTTTGAATTCTTGTTAAGAATGTTAGCTGTGATATGCTGCTCTGAGTATATTTGCTTTTCATTGAGGATCTACATGTACTGGATCAAGCGCACACGGACTGTACTTATTTTGAAATTTAAAGTTAAAAATGCATTAATTTAAATAACTATGTATAAAGCATCTCATTTTCAGTCTGTTTTTTTAGGAGCTATAATCTGCATAGAAGAGTAGTATACAAGGTACATCCCCAAGGCAATTTTTTTTAGAAATTGAAGTCCAGACAAGTAATTTCATTTCCTCTTCTCCAGGCAATAAAAGCAATAATTATTGTGCTGGTTTTGGCTGGGATAAACTTAAAATTCTTCATAGTAGCATTTTTGGTGCTTGGTTTCAGAATTAACCAGGGATGTTTCAGCAATGGCTGAGCAGGGCTTATGCAGCATCAGGGCCACTCCCGCTGCTGCGCTGGTGAGAAGGCTGGGGGTGCACAAGGATTTGGGAGGGGACAGCCAGGACAGCTGACCCCCAACTGACCTAAGGGATACTCCAGACCATATGACATGATGCTCAGCAATAAAAACTGTGAGAAGATAAAGGAAAAGGGGATGTTTGGAGTGATGGTGCTTGTCTTCCCAAGTCTGTTCTGTGTGATGGAGCCCTGCTCTGCTGGGGATGGCCGAGCATCTGCCCAACCTTGGGACACAGTGAATGAATTCCTTGTTTTGCTCTGCTTGTGTGCATAGCTTCAGCTTTACCCACGAGCTTTCTCACCATTACCCATCAACTTTTTCCTCCACCCCACTGAGCCAGTGAGTGAGCAGGTGTGTGTGGTTGAGCTGCTTAGCAGGGTTTACCTACAATAATTATCCTTTTAGAACACAACCGAGAGACAGTTATAGAATTAGCTTCACAGAAATATTATCCTGAACTAAGTTCCTAGGTTAAAAGGAATCAAAACATAAGCCTGAAAGCAATACAGTATTACTATTACAGTAATACACTATTACTGTATCACTAAAAATTTATTGAAATAAATTTCTGATGTGTGATGTGATCATTGAGGACAATTTTCTATGATCATGTACAGCTAAAAAATTCTCAGAAGTTTTGCTTCAAACAAAAAACCAGGAGGTGGACTTGAAGTTATCTGTCCAGCTTGAGTATTTGGAAGGGAAGAGGACATCTGAATGTAAATGCTTAAGCCATTGCATGTACAAGGCCTTCCAGCTTGAGAACATACAGGCTTATGTGACTGTGGGTACAGAGAGGCACTTGAAGGAAGAAGCAGCTCAGCTGAGAAAGTGAGGGGAAAAGACACACATCCAGAATTTTCTGGTCATGCAGCTGAAACTGATCCTTTAAATGTAGTAAATTATATCACAAAAGTTTAACAGCTTATCAGTTTAAGAAACATTAATGCTAAACACATATATGTTGAGCTTTTAGGGGGTTTTTGTTTAGTTTTGTTTTTTTTAAACTTAAAATGACTGAATTACTAGCATTGTCTACAGAGAATAGAATTGTCAATATATGAAGTACACTTTCCATTTTCTTCAACCATGAAGCTACATTATCTGTCAAAAAACATATTTTAATGCTTTTTACTTGAAGTAGGGTACCTGGTAAGCTTCATGTGATACTGTAGTTGCTCCATCCCAAACAGCACTAATCTGGACTGGAACAGGTTTTCCCAAAGGAGACAATAATTTAACTCTGTGTGAATTCACATTGACTGAAACCACTGAAAATCGCTCTTGTTCTGTAGGATTATATATCAAAAGGTATCTGAAAAAAACATAATTACTAAATTATCTTTTGGCAACCAAGCTTCCTCCTTCAGGTTTAATCTCACTGCACATAAATTTTACATACAAAGGATTAAAACAATGTTAGAACAACAGGTACATACCACAACAAATAAATATATAAAACATAACCAAGAAACAATGGATATTTAACATCAATTATTTGCAGATCATCTTTTCTTAATACTATTACATCTCCAAAAAATTTTGAAAGTTCCTTGAAAAAAATACATCAGCTTCCCTTTATAACTGCTAAAGAATTGCTATTAACAGTTGGAAGCACAATCAAGCTACTTAGAGGGCATTTAAAATGTATTTTTTAGGCTGAACTATGAAATTCTCATCCACAACAGCTTTTTTTTTTTTTAACACAGCTTAGAAAAAAATGAGGGAAGAAAACCGGTTCTACATATATATGTATTCACTAAAGGAACTAGTTTCTCTCTCCTGTAAGGGAAAGTACAAAATTATTTAAATTATAATTTAGCATCATTCACTAAGGCAACCATTTGCGTATCTTCTTAATAGGTACATATGCAATGTTTGGTTTTTTTCTGTAATTTTATGCCATTTGAACGCAGTTTATGATATTAATGAAAATATTCAGCCCTAACCTGAACAGACAGACTTTACTAGCCTATATCTATTCTTTTTATTATTACAGATTAATGTACTGTAACATATATAAAAACAAAATTATACTAGAACATTTGTGGCTCATGCATCTGTAAGACTATCATTGTACTTCACACTGACAAGCTCAAAGAATACAGTATTTACAACTGTTCCCTGAAGTTTCCCTCTGGTCATGTCATCCTTTAAAAGAAGTCTTTTACAATGAAAACTTCCCTTGCCAAAACTTCTGTTATCTTCTTAACTATATACAGCAGAACTAATACTCTATCTTCACCTCCTTAACACTCCTCACAGTTACTTCTTCATGGGATCTGATCTTTCATCAGTTCCCATGAGATCCATTTCTTACTTATCAAATCACTTCTCCCATATTTCTTCAAAGCAGATTCTCCTTGTTCTCTGCTCCTGTTCTCTGTTTTCTGTGCAGATTTTTCAGGGTCTTTCCCATGGTTTTATTTCTTTTGCTTTCACATCTCAAACCTCAAATTCAATTAGCCCCTTCACAGATCAAACCACTTCACCTAGAATTGCCTCCATCCACCCAACCTACAAATCTCATTCAGAATCCTGACCAGGCTACCATTTCCCCCTTATCTTTTTACCAGCTTCCTTTGTTTGCCTGCATCAAACTTGGCTAGTAAATTTCCCAGAACTTCACTGCTACCCTATTACCTCACAAACAGTAGGAAATGAAAGGTCAACTCCAACTTCTCATTAGTTGAATAAACAAAATCAGAGGCTTTGTTAGCTTTTTATATCAAGAACCTTTGGATTACTTGCCATATATCAAACGAGTTTCCCATAAAAAAATATTTTCTTTTTAACTCCTTAAATTCCTGTGCTGACGTATTGTTTAAATCATGACTTCTCAGCATACCAATGATTTTCAATGTGTATTTGTGATCACAACCAAAAATGCTTTTGGATGGTCTCTTTTGCCCTGTTTGACACTGAAGACTCCTAGTTTACTAGATAATATAATAGTTAACCATAGTCTGGGTCAGCTTTCAGACTCTTTAAAAAGTTGTGCAAGATTTTTTGAGAACCTCCTCCAGACCTGGGTAAGGCATTTAACACTTCTAATTATCAGGAGCTGTCTTCTTTCAGGGCAAGATTTTAATTTAAATGTTTTGGTTAATCTTAATAGGTGTTTTTGTTGGATTGTTGTTTTGGTTTTTTTTTAAATAATATTAGTGGAATCAAAACCTAGCAAAACCAACCCTGCTCTTGACCCATCACAAATGAAGAAATTATATAAAATGTTTTTAAAAGCTCCTCATGTCCTGTGAAAAGAAAGTGTTAAGAACTCTGTTAGAAACAATACAGATTAAGAGATGACTGAACACCAAAGGTCAAAATAAATCCGAATTCTCATCCAGCAACAGAACACCATATCCTTTAAAAAATGGCCACATTTTTCCTTTATTCTTATACAATTGAATTCCTCTATTTTTATGCCTCCAAGTAAAAGCAGACCTTATGCATATAATAATTTTTCAGTAATGCTACACATCCTCATTAAATTTAAATTATCTGCCAAACAAAGAACATATTAGTGCAAAAAATATTTCCAGTAACTTTGTTCACCTTCCCATAGGTACAAACATATTTCACAACTTTAATTAGTTGCATGACAAATTTACCTACAACAAAAGAACTTAGGAACTGTAGTATTAATATTATATTTCATCAGGCTACTTTTTTATTCGTATTTGGATTAAACAAATCTATTGTATCAAAATATATACATTTTTTAACTTCTTGAATTAATGTATTTTAAGTTTGTTATGTGTGTGTAGAGTAAAAAGACACAGGAAGCTGGCAATGACAGGGCATATTTTCAGCACTTGAAATGCAGGAATTTTGACTAGATACTAATATTATGTTTTGACATATTATTTCAGGAGGACTGTAGTAGTTATAGAAAGACATAATTCTTGTGTATATACAAAAGCACTGACTAATGTAATTAAATCACATTACTTCGAAAGCATCATTCAACTCCACCCTTAAATAATACCCCACCATAAAAATTGTAGATTTTAATTGAAAAAAAAAGCAACACCTCACTTAAACTGTATCATTCCAAAGAATGTAATGCAAAAAGCTGAGTACAATTGCTTAATGCATTGTGGTTCCATTACATAGAGGAGCAACTTCATAATATTCAAAGGTTTTCTATTCCTTATTTTAAGGCAAAACCAAGAATATTACTGTCTTTCAGAAGAAAGCAAATATTTTCATTATTCAGATCACTGGTTTTTGGCAACAACACCAATAAAACTACTAAAGTTTATAGCTTTCATTCAGTTAAAAAGTGAAGGGTTTTAATGGCTATTGGTAAAATTCACATGAAAAATTTTATCTGAAATATTTTACTTTAGGGGCACCATTATGGCCAAGAGTCAGCCATAATTTATTTAATTTATTCAAGATATCTAAGAATCCTAAAACTATGTTAAAATAAACTTCATTGATACAAAAACCATGACTGAACCACTCACATGGAGACCATATATTTCATCTCTGCACTGGGAGCAAGAGTTAACAGCTCCCAGTCCATCAAAAAATGAAAAGTTACTTACTGCAGATTTGAGCTCCTAATCCTAAATTGGATGCATCACCTGTAATTTAAGAAAAGCAAATCCTGGCACCTTTTCAGACACTTTTCAAAAGATAGACCTTTAATTCTTTTACCCCATAGTTTCTTGGGTCTCTGAAACTCAAAACAGGTATATTTTAGTCACACAAGCATGACCACTTTCCCTAGATAATCTACCATTAATAACATTAATAAACCCTATTAAATGTATACATACAAGCATCAAAGAATACTTTGACCAGTTTTTCCCATAGTACAAGATTTAACTTGTGGTGGAACATTTTCAGCAAGGGCTGGAACATGGCCACCTACCCTCTTCTTATTTCAAATACTTTCATTCTTAAATTAAGAAAATATGTAAACTACTGTAGCTTAATTTACAGACAAAAAATATAAATAAGTATCTCTAACAACTTTAATCACTGCCTCCTAAAAGAATATTGTTTCTTAAACAGAAAAGCTTCAGTATTTCAAAAGATCATGCTTTCTGTTTCTCCAATGTGCATAAACATATGGGCATATATACTGATACACACATTTAGTGGTAACACCTGCAACACAATTACCATAATTACCACTTCCTTTTGAAGTTCATTCCTTCTTCTTTCAAAAGGGATGCATTCAACTAATGTGAGAAACCACAACTCACTATTAGTAAATGTCTGAGCATCATCAATGATAAAGGCGTAGCCAAAAACCACCTCTTCAAGGTGCTTGGATTCACAGTTCAAGACAACAGTGTTCATTGGTCAGCAGAGTACCTTTATTCAAATACATCTAGGGAACCAATTCCTTGAGGAACTCTAGCTTAGACTGACCAATTTTACTAAAATTTCTCCAGCAAACCTTGTGAGATGGATTGAAGCATTTCCCATTATAAATGGTTTCATCAGTCAGTTCTCTGGACCCATACACACAATTTTAAATCAAAGTTACATGAACAAGAATCAGCTTTCAAAGCTGAATAATTTGTTTCACTCTGCCTATAAAGGCCAAGGCAAAAACAGCCTAAGTCATGCAAATAAAATGCAACAAGTACACCCAACACTGAGAAAAGCTACGAGCCATGAAGCCAAATTATATACTGTATCAGTGGTCTTCCACTGAAGAACAAAAGAGAAGAGATGCATGTGAGTTCTGAAAATGTCAAGAGTGGAGTAATGAAAACAGATTAAAATGCTTTAGGCTATATAGAAAAGGAATTGAAGTAACTACATATGTTAGAACTCACCAGAAAGGCTGGTGGGTTAGAAACCACAATTCAGCTAGAAACGTATTATGAGTTCTCGACTGCTGGTGGACTTTGATAGATTAGGACTTAAAAATTGTAAACAAAATTGAAATTCTCTAAAAAAATCATCTCACTGGGTAATAAAATCAAAACTTTTTCACATCTTAAAATTGCAAGAAAAAAATTGCTTTGAAAGATGGGAGAAGAGTCAGTAGGTTGTAATACTTATTTACTGAAGGCTGATGTATGTGAGGTAGAAACAAACTAGAGCTTAGCATTTAAACTGCACAAAGCACTGTTTGCCATGGTAGCTTCCAAATATACCGTTAAAAATCAAAATTACAAGACTTCTAATGTACGCCAGAATTTCAGCAACTCCCACCTCACAAAAGTCCAAGAAAACTGGAATCCTAAGAAATTACCATGAATTTCCACTACACAGGTCCATGTCTTTAGGGATGCAGGTACATAGAAGGAAAAGAATCAAGACCATCTATTTAAACCAGGCATT